TTAAGTCTTTAAACTTAGAAGCCACGGGAGAAGGAGATGGTGAATGTAACTGCAGGCATGTTTTGTAAAAGGAGAAAACTTGTATATTTACCATATTCATCAGGACAGACACATGCTCCGAATGTGTGGTCTGGGGGGACATTCATTGTTTCCGCAATGCTATCAAGTAAAACAAACACTTTAGTTAAATATATTCACTCGTGGAATTTAAAATGTTAGCCATATATTCCCAATAGCTTATGTTCGTTCCTATAAACGAACTATGAAGCTCAAACACAAGTTCGCCAACAGAACTGTCTGATCTTTCACTTGCATTCACAATGGCTGCATGCTTTCCATGGGCTTTGCATAGCCTAGATTTTAAAAGGTTTTTGTTATTGTTGGGTTAGAAGACACAAGACTATGGGAATGGAAATTCTAGCAACTAAGGATAATTTTTTTTTTTTTACAACATAAGTGGCTTCTACCCTACTCCACACCTCTTTCTAATATATAAACCCTATGGAGAGGAGCGCTATTCTGGGCAATAGAGATCACTGGCTTTGGATTGAGATTCTTACCCACCCCCCCAGAGGTCTGTCATCTCCAAGAACATCCAAAAATCACCATTTGAATGGTTGATGGTTTTTATCTTTAGTTTTCTTAACACATTCCACGAGGCCAGTGGTTCTCAACCTTCCTAATGCCTAGACCCTTTAAGACAGTTCCTAATGTGTGGCAATCCCCTCCCCACCAACCATACAATTATTTTCATTGCTACTTCATAACTGTAATTGTGCTACTGTTATAAATTGGGAGACCCCCGTGAAAGGGTTGTTCGACCCCCAAAGGGGTCGTAACCCACAGTTTGAGAACCGCTGCACTAGGCTTTACTGCCAGTGCCGCCTTCTACCTTGACCTAGAAAGAATATTTAGGAAGCTGATATCCTATCACTTGCGATTACTCAAGAGTCATTTCCAAAGAGGTAAATCAGTAGTGCAATCGCTAGCCTTAGGAGTGAAGCCTATAACTTAGGCCCCATCATGGCAAGTGATAAAGGTGAACAGATTGCTCGCTCACACTCTGCTTATCAGTAGCAACCCTGATGCATCGCTGCTCCTTGGCCCTAGATTCTCCTTCACTTCTCTTCTGCCTTGGTGCATTTGGGGGGCTAAGCACAGCCATTCCTTAACAGAGGCAAGAGCGGCAGACCCTGTGATGAGGCAATCTGTGTGCAAAAAGCCACTGCCATAGAATCCATTCTGACTCGGGGCCACCTTACAGGGCAGAACAGAACTGCCCCCTTAGAGTTTCCAAGGCTGCAATCTCTTCAGGAGCTTAAAGCTTCCCATTGCTCTTTAGGAGTGGTCGCTGATTTTGAACTGCTGACCTTGGTTTGCAGCCCAACACACAGCCCACTCACTACTCTATTTGGAAAGGAAGAAGTCCAGGCCCAGCAAAGAAAGCAGTATGACCCTGGAAGCTGGCAGTCCCTGCAGCTTTGCACAAAATAAATGCCGTTAATGAACAGAACAATAGTCACAGAAAGCCAAGTAGATTTCACTGTGGGTGCCCAGGATGCTCACAGTAGCCCTAAGGCTGAATCTCATATCCTTTTGAAATTATTAGTATCCATTCTTTTTCTTTTGTAAGACTACCTCATATTCACTATAGGAAGATAGTGTAGATAAAGTTCAAGAAATTGGCCAATGTTGTCAAATTGTCGTAGTGGCCAACTGTGCACCAGATTCATCAATTCATGTTATACATCTTTATGAAAAAGTCTGAGAAATGTCCAATTGTCAGCAAGACAGTGTACCCCACCACCTACCCAAACATACACACACACACTTCCCCCTAAAGGCATTTATTAAAGTTATACAGTCCAGATAAAAATAGAACCAAAATGTAATTTTCTAATGGATTGATTAATGTTCCAAAACATTAAACTCAATTAGTTATCATTTCATTTGCCAGGGAATAGACTTAAGTTAAAATCTTTGCAGTAGTGGTTCTTATATGCACTCATGTATAGAAGAATGTACACGCTCAGACACCTGGGCATAAGTTCCAAGAACTTGTATTTTTAATAAGTTCCCTGCGTGGTTTCTGTGGATGGAGCCTGGAGATCATATTTCTGAAAATCACTGATAAGATAGTTCATCTCCCCGCCTCATCTCCGGGCCCCATTTTCATGTCTGTTTAGAATGCTTACAAATAAAAAGAAAACACTTGTGCCTTCTGCCCTTTGATTGAGTGAGTG